ATTTCAACTCCGTAGTAGTAAAACATCTTTTGTAACGGAAATTGTCTTATTTTCGCGTCAGAAATTAAAGCAGCTTTCTTGCAGGTGATCACTGCATTTGGTGCTGTTAAAATATATCTTTTAACATCTAAACACAATATCTATAAAATAGATAGAACTTTACAAGTCTACATGTGAATAAGAGTTCATCTTCTCAAGTTGATGAAAAATCTGTCTACGGTGGCGGTCACCCACGAAGAATTACCGCTTAATACAGGTTCACCGCTAAACACAGGGTCCACAAAATGGGGTAAAAACCGCCATTTCATCCAATAATTTACTGCTTAATGATCAAAAACTCACTCGAAAAATCCTTCTTACATTGATTTCGCGAGGTAAAAATGGATTCAATTTTACTTGAGAGATTATTCTTAGTGTTTTTTTAGTTCTTGCACTTCCACATTCAATATAATTTAGTTGTAAGACAATACAAAACAGGCTGTTGGGACTTTGTCAAGGATGACTCCGACTGCTACAGAAAGGTGACCGCTTAAAAGAGGTGAATATTAGAGTAACTATGTGAAAAAGACTCGGAACTCTCACAACCGACCGCTCAATACAGGCCGGGTAACCGCTTACTACGGTGGCACTCTTGAGGGATATCATCAAAATTCGCATTTGAAATTCATATGCAAGCCCTGGATATAAAATACCCTTTTTTCCATCAGCCAGGTATGTCGCAATTACCAGTGTCAATTAATGTATAGAACGCCTGTTTTGACACATACATCCTGCTTTTGTGCGTCGTATTGATGAACAAAATAAAGATTGTTTAGCGATATTATCTACAGATGACTGACGACTTGAGTCCGTTGATAAATTGGTTTTAAAAGAATTGAAAATCATCAATTCTATAAGGTGAATGTAAACACTTTGAGGAACATTTCAAACCTTGAAATTTATCAGCAACAAAGTGTTCGTCTGAGTAATTCCTTCACCGATTGTCTCACCTCTCTAATATTCCAGCAGTAAAGCAACGGGTTTAGTGATGAATTAAAGTAAACTAGAGTCACTGTGAATTGTCTGACCACAATGAAAGCCGATGACTGTTCATTATAGGTCCACAAAGCTGTGATTATACCATGTGGAAGATAACAAACAGCTACTGCTAACTGCAGCCACATTACACTTGACACTCCCTTTCTATATCGAGATATGTTGAGTGGAGCGGAACTCGAGTTACTCTATTGCTCTTGCTGGATGTTGCTGCGTATCTGCGTTTCATGGCGACGGAGGTCCCAAAAAATCTTNAGGTCTGTCTATTGAACTCCTTTATTATTATGAGAAAAGCAAATCCTGCTTCCAAGCAACAATTTCTGAGGTTCAGGATAAACATTGCTCGACAGCTGATTGCAGGGCAATCATTTCGTTCTAGAATTGGCCGGCGCATTTCTCAACAACTCTCAGAGGTTGACACATTACGTCTCAATGGGAAATATCACCCTCTGGAGTTTACTGATAGCAGAAGAGACTGTGTTGTTTGTGCTAAAGTTGTTAAAGTGCAGGGGCTTCATAGGAATGAGCGATCGAAGTCTGCAGTGCAGTGTGAAGTTTGTAAAGTTCCACTTTGTGTCAACAAGCAGAAGTCTTGTTGGAATATGTGGCACACCAGAGTGGAATACTGACTAAATGCTTAAGATCAGAACACAATCATGAATTCTCATTTTATGTTACATTGTTTTATTAGCTTTCCTTCTGAAAAACATAGAAACTTCTAAAGAGTGTTAATGATGAATGCAACAATACAAGCTCATCAATGCTCATGACTTGTTTGATCCATTATTCAAAGGCAGATAAATCCTGTGCATGTAAATAACAACCTGTGAGTGATTATCCAAAACCTTTGGGGGTTATCAACTCCAGAAAGGAAGTTTTTTTGTGACAGCAACTGACACAAAGTTGGAGGTTTGGTAGGAATAGATAAGTTACCTGTTGCCGAGGCTTTTTATTTTTTTCCACTCGCCGCCATAAAAAAGGGCATAACTTCATGGTTATTTAACATATTTCAGTAAGGTTTTCAGTATTCTAAAGTGCAAAGGTGTGCCCTTTTACTCAGCATAAAATTAGAAAGGTGTCATTAAAAGCACTCAAGAATGATCATGTAGTGTTCATGAGTGTTGCTCACTGAAATTTTGATTCATGAATAAATTGGCTAGGGGATAGCCTATTTTTTTGATAAATTGTGCTGAAATATAGTGCAAGTGAAAGATCAATTTCTGATGATTATTGTGATATATAGTTATGGGGGTGCTATTGATTGACACTAAAAAGTTATTTCCCAGTTTTTGTGACTAGGTGCGGTCGCAGTAAATTACCTCTCAGAAACTTGGTAACTGAAATACCATCGATGTCAAATAGCGTATACATCAAATAAGAATTTCTTGGTGACAAAAATTCTGTTGAGCTAGAGGCCTAACATTACCCACCAGGTAAAGTACTTTTTTCCACCGAGTATTCCTGTTCTTCCAGAGTACCCCAACGTCGGCGGTAAATCTAAATAAAGAATAAGCACTATTTTCGTAAAGAAAAAAATTTTAGTCTGGAGGTATCTACAGTAAGAGAAAATCAATATAAAAGGCGAGCCTGATTTACGTCTAAGAAACACGCTGACAAATTTTAACCTAATTGCAGGTTTACTTTTACTGTGACTGAAGGAGTAGCTTTTCCGAAAAAACTTCAACTTGAAAGGACAAGGTTTTGACCATGGGGTGAACTATCTCGGTACTAAACTTTAGAGTACCCTTGTTTTATTACCTTCAGAATAAATTTCAGTGATGCTTGTCAGTGTTTGAGCTTTACTCCGGGACGGTTCACTCGACATTGTGTAAAAATATTTCGTCGTCTGAAGAAAGATACTTGATACATACAGTAGTCGATATAAAGTGTTGTTAAATTTTTAAGTTTAGAAATTACTCATTTTCATCATGAGCCATGTACTCACAAGTTATCTAAATTAGTGCACTCGAATAATCATAATACCTTGATCTAGATCCGCCTGTACGCCGAGCCGATGACTCGTAAACTTTCCCACAGAAACAGGTCCGACGTACATGACTGTTCCTCGAAGTCTCCTGTTGGACAGACCCATCCTAAACAATGTCTTCATACCTACCTTAATATCATTGATTGATTTAGGCTTCCACATGAGGATCGCGATAGAAAACGATATTTGATTGGACAAGCCTCAAAAGGTGAGTCTGGCGCGAAAAGGTTCCTAAATATGGAACCCGAGCTGTAATTGGCCAATTCTGAGAAAGGAATGTAGTTCGGTTGTCAGCAGCCGTACTTTTTGGGGGAGCGTTGCGTGACATCCGAAAAAACGGCTGCGAGGGAGACTAAGTTAACTGCAGTTTCCATTTGCGCTGTATTCTTTGATCCAGTCAATCCCCCCTGGAGAGGAGGTGTGCGCTCATTTCCGCGCAGCAACATAGCAACCAGGCAACACGTCAGCTCAGCTCAGAGGTCATAAAACAAAAGGTACTTTTCCTGTGTGTGATTCAACGACTTCGTCTCTGTGTGAAGGAGGTCATTTTTATCGACCAGATGGTCCAATCATCATTCAAAACAACCATGAATATTTACAGCGACAAAAGTGACAAGCGGATATTGAAGGTTTTAATTTGTTTAGTCATCAATCACACACGTGGATTGGGTTTGGACTGTCTCGGTTTCCCTTACGTCACCGTTGTAGTAGTGCTTCTGTGCAGTCCTCATTCTTTAGTACAAAATTTCACAGTTTGTAATTATACGCGACATTTATTTACATAATTCCAAGTTCCCATCAGGAAAATACTCGGAGGGTCACTTCTATAAAAAAACCACTCATCTGATCTACTGAAATCAGACAAACAATTTGACCGGTGTCTCGTGCAATATCTGAGATAAAATCAAGTTCATAGCCTCGAAATGAGAAGCTGACACCTTGAAAGATTATGATGGGCAAATATTTGGGANTAAATAGCGCTATCTACTGCGAGGATCGTGCATCATACGTATCTAATACCGCAGTTCAAAATATATGAACTTCATATATTCATTGTATCTCATTTATCACTTTCACGGGTTTATTACGAATCAACTTAACGGCCTGCTCCCAGTTGGCTTGTTAGCTCAATTGGTAGAGCGCTGCACTAGTATCGCAGAGGTCAGTGGTTCGAGTCCCGTACAGGCCTGATTTTTTTCAGGTCTGATTTTCGCTATTGCTTAAATAGCGCTATCTACTGCGAGGATCGTGCATCATACGTATCTAATACCGCAGTTCAAAATATATGAACTTCATATATTCATTGTATCTCATTTATCACTTTCACGGGTTTATTACGAATCAACTTAACGGCCTGCTCCCAGTTGGCTTGTTAGCTCAATTGGTAGAGCGCTGCACTAGTATCGCAGAGGTCAGTGGTTCGAGTCCCGTACAGGCCTGATTTTTTTCAGGTCTGATTTTCGCTATTGCTTAAATAGCGCTATCTACTGCGAGGATCGTGCATCATACGTATCTAATACCGCAGTTCAAAATATATGAACTTCATATATTCATTGTATCTCATTTATCACTTTCACGGGTTTATTACGAATCAACTTAACGGCCTGCTCCCAGTTGGCTTGTTAGCTCAATTGGTAGAGCGCTGCACTAGTATCGCAGAGGTCAGTGGTTCGAGTCCCGTACAGGCCTGATTTTTTTCAGGTCTGATTTTCGCTATTGCTTAAATAGCGCTATCTACTGCGAGGATCGTGCATCATACGTATCTAATACCGCAGTTCAAAATATATGAACTTCATATATTCATTGTATCTCATTTATCACTTTCACGGGTTTATTACGAATCAACTTAACGGCCTGCTCCCAGTTGGCTTGTTAGCTCAATTGGTAGAGCGCTGCACTAGTATCGCAGAGGTCAGTGGTTCGAGTCCCGTACAGGCCTGATTTTTTTCAGGTCTGATTTTCGCTATTGCTTAAATAGCGCTATCTACTGCGAGGATCGTGCATCATACGTATTCTTGAAAGTTATCGTAACAAACTTGGGCGTGGAGGCACTCTCTCCTGATCACGACCTGCATCATCCCCTCCTCTTCTCCACCCATTACGATCACGGTCACGTGATCGTGATGCGTGGTTCCTCCAACCAGTAACACCTGTAACGACAACAGAGAAATCATTTTAATCAAGTATAACAAAAGCGGTAGATCATCATAACGAACATCATCCGAAATACATCACGATCACGAATTAGACTTCAATGATGTGCCAGTCTTATCAGTGATCATGATTTATTGCGTCCGAAAACTAAACCAGAAAAAAGCGCCAACTCGAATGAAAACATTTAGGAACTATGCAAATTATGATGCTCTAAATTTTTGTGAAGATCTCAAAGGTGTTTACTTAAACCCTACGCACGATGCATCAGTCCTTGAGGGAGACAATGAGAACACTAGAGTTAATTATCTCTGGGATTTTTTCCAAAAAGCTTTTATCTCTATTGCTGTTGTCCATGGTCAAACAGTGATATAAAGCGCGATATGAGGGAACGTGATTTCAAGCCGTAGGATTTCACGGTAACGATCGTTTCCGGTAAAGTGTGGTTACAGTGCTCGAGAAACAATGGAACTGAAAAACAGCTTCCCATTGACAAATTAAACCTTACCGATCAAAATTCACTTGATACAAGTTTTCTTCACTGTGATTCTCAACCAGTAGAGCAATTCTTTGGTCGTTCCTCTGGTTAACATACACGAAACTGAAACGTTGTTTATCTTCTCTCGTCCGCCATCTTGAATCGTTCCCAAAGTGCATTGTGCGGTAGTTTTAGCCCACACGGTCGCCCACGTGTGTAGGTTTACCGCCATTTTCACGGTTGAAAGATTCTAAATCGACTTTTAACATGACTTCCAACGCGAAGGAAAAAACGATTGAAACCGGACGCGTTAGTTTAAGAACCTTTGAAAAGTGGTCTTTTTGTGAGGATTTCACAGTGGAAACAAATGATGACGATCAAATCTTCCTCCTGAAATGTAAGATTTGTAGCGAACGTTTCACGTGAGTACATTTGCCTTTATGCTTCGATCTTAGTTTAATTGTTGAAGCACTTTGCCCGTTTTCATCTTCGTTTTTGAATTGAAATATTTCTCTTTTCTTTTTTTGACGTGGCCTTTCTGATTCACCCTATAAACATCCTATTTGCACTTTAATGGACAATTTGTTAACACTCTCATAGACATTCTCAATTAATAATTAGAATAAAATTATGGACGAAAGTGAAATACTATTAAGTATTGTGACAACATTTATATCAAAATGGGTTCCCATGAATATTGACGGAACCGAAAAAAAGTTACTGAAGGGAGTCCCATGACCTCTGACAACGGAACCGAAAAATCGTTTACCACAAGATTTGAATTCCTAGGGCTTGTGATTTTTTTATCATGAAAGCTACGAAAACTGGACAAAATACCGCTACTTCAGAAATCGCCTCACTGGTAAGATTATAAAAGCTAAAGAAGCTTATAACAGGCGCGTCATCGAGCAGGATGGTCATGACAGTACGGCTTTCTGGGGAACAGTGAAAAAAGTTTTGTCAACTGATCGCATGGAACCGTCTCCAACTATAAAGATCGGGAACAATCTTCCCAGTGACAAGCGTTCGATTACTAATGCATTTAATAAATACTTCACAAACGCTGTAACCTGCCTGGTAGACTCCCTTAAGAGTTCTGTGGCCTCAGTTCTGTAATTTTTAATATGCTGAATTTTTAATGTTTTAAGATTTCGTTCATTTTTACTGTAACTGGATAAACCCAATATTTTAAGATTAACTTAACTTTTCTTAGCCTCTACCAGTAGAAATAGTATTTTAGTACAATTGTGTAGCTTATTTTTTTTTTTGCCAGTTTTTATAATTTTAATATTTATCAAGGCCCCAATTGATATCAGTACTTAAGGCATCGAATGGGCTACCCTGAATAAATAAAGGTCTCTCGCTTATGAATGAGTTCACACACCAGTGCCACCACCTGAAAAAGATCCTATTAATTAAATACCAGATAACAGTGGGTCAGACACGATTAAGAAAAAAGTATGTCTATCTTTCGATTATTGGTGAGACTTTCTGCATATTAAACACGCGCCACCCAAAATTTCTGTATTCGCTCTGACGAATGGTCATCGGTCAAAACGTAAGCTATAGAAACTCTTTACGGCGCGCGGCCAATTTACATTATCAACTCAAGTAATAAAAACCGAATTATCTTATTACACCCGCCATCGATGCAGCACCACAGTTTATTTAGAAACTTACCCTCTTTAACCTTGACATTAGTTGCCCCTTTCTTGTTTGCCCCGCCCATGGCTTCGTTGGTGGTTTTGTTCTTCAGTCTTTCCATCTGCTGCACCAGACCCTGCACAGTAGACGTTAAACAGGCTATCTGCTGTGATTGATCATTCAACTGCTGTGATTGATCATCGCAGGTGGACGCCAATCTCTCAATCTGCTTCGACTGATCTCTAACCTGCTTCTGGGTGATCTCAAGATTGCATAGAGCTAAGTTCAGGTGGCTTTTCACATGTGAGTCCAAATGACCTCTGGTTGATGCTCGTGGAAACTGTAAAGAGGATGGTGAGGTTTTAAAGTCAAAACAAACCTTACATTTGACTATTCTAAATTTCTAATCTTGACATTACTTTCAGAAATATACAGCAATAGATTTTATTTAACAGCAAATATAAATACGAATACAGAAAAGAATGTCTGTTTNCCTACAAAAACGTCGCATCAGAGATTTCACGATCTAGCTTCGCAAAGAAATGTACCAGCAGTGTTTTGCCTTGTGTTATTTATTGAGTTTTTTTGGCAGCATTTTTTGTTTTGATGTTCTCTTCCCGTCGCGGTTTGCAGGGCGACTTTTAACAGTAAATGAAGCTGTTTTTCAAATTTTTGTCTCAAACGACTATTTATTCCTGTCGCTCTGCTGTAGATATAGGTGAAGAGCTCAAATAACAGAAAAGTTTGCGTCACAAGAATTTCTTCACATTATACATCCCAGAATACTTCAAGCATTACTCTGAATGCCAGAACTTCAGGCTGGGTGAACCAGAAAGGATAGACAATACTTCCCTACATTCATGAATGAAAAGCTAAGTATGTCAAATATCCCAGAAGCACTCAGGGAATACACTGAATGCCAAGACTTCAGCCTGGGTGAACCAGTAAGGCCGATAGTTAACACTTCCCTAGATTAACCTTTGAATGTCAAAGAAAATAAGAATGTTAGGTATCCCAGAAGCGCTAAGGCATTACTGTGAATAGCAGAACTTCCGTTCAGCTTGGGTGAACCAGAAAAGCCTAAACAACACTTCCCCCTATTGACCATGAATGAAAAAACTAAGTATGTTATATATCCCAGAAGCACTCAGGCATTACACAGAATGCCAGGACTTCAGCCTGGTTGAACCAGAAAGGATAGACAACACTTCGCTATATTGACCAGGAATGAAAAGCTACTGACTTCCCTAACTTTCCAGCAATAAAGAATCGGGTTTAGGGTTGACTTTAAATTATCCAATGTCCCTGTAAATTTCCTTAAAAACAAAGTTAATGAAGATTGTTCGCTGTAAGTAAACAAAGACTCCACTACTCCGTGAAGCGGATAGCAAGCGACTGAAGCCAACTGCAGCCACAGTGCGCCGGCCACTGCCCTCCTGTATCGCAACACGTTTGGTGGAGTTTCATGAGGAATTGTTTGGTTATGTTGATCAGATTGTGGATGAAGTAGTCTGTACCTGCGTTTGATGAAAGAGTGGAAGAGTGAAGAAGATCCAGGTATAACAGAAGACGGATATCAATAAGCAAAGAGGAATCGCTGCACCATAATAAGATCAGATAATTCCAAAAGTTCATCGCAAATTTAAGGATGCATACGAACCAAATTATCACTGTAGCAACAGCTGTACGCTTTAAAGAAATAACTAGCTTGTATTTTATCCCCAGTAACAAGGCGGAAAGTCTGTCCGCGTTGATTGCAGTCATAGTAACAAGCGACACCGAACTCAAACTATAACCTTCTTCAAAACTTGACACCAGTGAGAGGCGTGGTGTAATCGTTACGTACTCTATCACTTAATAACAGCGCGTATGTCTTGTCGTTGTAGACAATGGTGAAATTAATGTTTCTACAGTAGTGTGTGTAAGCTTTAATCTACAGTGTGTGGAAG